AACATGCATTTAAAAAGCCAGAATAACAGTATAAGAAAATATATTTTAAAAAAATTTTAGGGATCCGACCAAAATGGCAGAGACTATCGATCCTCCCAATACATAATTAATAAGAATATTTAAAAACGTGGCGAAGCTTTCTGACCTTAATTTAATTATACGAAATGTACAAACAGCTGGATAAGTGCAGTATTGTGCTCTGAAAAATTTTTCTCAAGTAAGTTTTTCTCTGTGGTCGTAATTGGGAAAAAGTTTACTTTTCTGTGACATCGCGGTCACAGGGTCCTTATTTTGCTAAATTAAATAGATGAGTTTACAGGCAAATCAAAAGGAAGTGGGTCTCAGAAAGACACAATAGAAATTCCGCTGCAGAGCTTGCTTTGCCATTCATTCGCCTTTCTTTCCTCTGACCTAAATGACGACCCCATCTGAAATCACTGGTGGCATCTTCCCGAATAGCACAGCTAACATCCGACGGCGCCATTAAAATCACATTAAGTAGCGGTCTTATCACCCAGTTAAATTGTACTAGTGAGGGTAGTGATAGAAAGTGGCACGCAACAAGTATCTTGCTTTGGCTTTATTAATTCAAAACCGTCTTTGGGCGCTGAATTGTCAGGGTAAGTTCTTTTTAAACTCTTAATTATGTGAGGCGGCTACTGGAATTATCCATTCGACAATGTATGTCTCAGTCTTTTTTATAGACTTTGCATTTTGTTTAAATTGCAAGAATTTCTTCCAACTAAGCTTTCGCCCTGCCCGCATAAAGGAGAGCGACTGAAAATCTATACAGCCGTTTAATTTGACAGGCAACAATACGATGATATGTTCTTGAATAGCACTCTACTTTTCGATATATCGATATATATATGATCAACAATATTAATATATATATCGAATCATTGTTGGCCAAATTTCAGCACTGGCAAATAGCTGCTACAGTATACGGTTGTTCTAACGCTAATTAAGTCCGTTAAGACCGTTTCCGTAAGTGGGGGTAAATCTTTGATGATCTTGATGTTACGACTTAAAGCTTGGATGAGCACAAGATGTTGCGATCTTGGATATCTGTGTTGAAGAAATGCTTGCACTTTCGTTTAGAGGTCAGCCTATTAAGGGACTCAAGGGTCGGAACCTTTGATCATAAGTTTGAATGCATCATTCAGAGTAGAGGTTTGCATTTATTTAATATGAAGCATGCTCCATGATTGTGCGTCATTGCCTTCAATTTGTTAACAATTACAAAGTCGTGATTTACCAGCATTCATAAGATACTGCAGTATGACACATGTGTTACTATATGTAATACACATGCATGGTTGCCTGTAATATGCAACACGTTTAACAAAACGTTTCCTTATTCTCATTTCGCTTATGGTCCAAAAAAGTGAGTCGCTTTTTTGACCTGAAAACTTGATCAGCATTTTGGTCCCTAACCGATTTTCGGCCTGGGATGCCTCGCATTTTTCAGCTCTGAAGTGCCTCTGGGCTTCACTACCATAATGAATGGCGTGTGTTGTACACTCTCGGCTTCGTAGCCACGCAGCCTCTACTATCTGTGAATCCGAGGACTCCTGTGAAAAGGCTTAACTTTTCAATTGTTTTCTACTAGCTGAAGCGCACAGGAAGTACTCAATCGGTCAAACTTTGTTTTTTTAAGTTTCATTTAGACACCCAGTAATGGAACCTAATCTGCTAAAAAGACGTGATAATCGTTATTGTCTATCACAGACGGAAATTAATATGCGTTCATTAACTATATTCAGTAGACAAACAAAAAAGGCATCCATTCAGTAGGTATAATCACACTAAACCTGCTTCTTACCATAATGGAAAGCAAATACCTACCTATTTATTATCTACAAATTTCATAAAGTGTATCGTATGACAATTTACGAATATGTGAAGCTGAAAGATTCTCCAAAAGAAAATAATAGGAATAGAGCTCTATGACAATGAAAGTATTGGACCCGCAAAACTCTTTTTATAGCTGATTACTAGATCTTGGAATCGCTGTTTTGTATTCCTTCAGATAACATTGCGCCATCAGGATTAAGTGTTATAAACAGTTATCATTTGAGTGCAAGGCCTCTATTGTCCCTCTATAACGGTGCTGTTATGATATACATCCAAGCTTCATTTGTCTCATGAGCAGTTAAAGGAATCGCCAAATGAATTACTCGAAGAGGGTGCCTTTCTGAGTCTGAGTAGCTGCGAGACGGCGGCTACCTGCATTTTTGCCACGGGCAAAATACAGCCTAGTATGGAAATAAAGAAAGCGTAAGAATTCAGCGCATACAATTTTCAGCCTGTGGAATTGCCGTTTTTAGGCAAATGTTTGCATGCAGACGCAAATTCTTTTGCGCGCAGGACTTCATGAACAAAACGCCTGCGTTCGGCTTGCCGTAATCCTATTTGCTGGATAAATATCTGAATAACATTTACTGAATAACTTTACGTTGAAGTTGATGATCATTACGTGAAATGAGCCCCATAAAACGTATTTCAGAACGATCTAGTTCTCGGTATAACAGAACGTAATTTTTTTAATGGTCCACAAAATACGAATTTGCATGATTCATCGATTTCCAGAATATTGTCGGACCCAATCGCGGTGGCTTATACTGCTTCCTACCGAATCTATGCTTTGTAAGCTTTACCCCTTGCCAGCTTGTCTTATTTTTGGTACTACGAGCTAATAAAGTGGCAAGTGCTTACCCAATCAGCTAAACAATACGACCAGTCGAGTTTCTTTACCGAGCACGTTTACTTCCGTTGGAACAAAAATTTTCTCTTCTGCATGTGTCTGACCTTGCTAAAGCGGCGGTTAACCTCATGTGTCTGAACTGGGCAGATCGGTTTATCTAAGACTGCTGTTGCCGTCACCACGTTTGTCTGCTCTGTACTTGTGGCTTTGCTAGTAACGTAAGCAAATTTTTTCAGTATATGCGTATACTGAACGCTTTTGCAAAGCATCTTGTCTTGTGGTAACCTAATCCTTACCCGCCTAAGCCTAACTCACCCGTTAATCTGATCAATTTATAAGCAAAAAGTTATATATAATAGGCATAAATATATAATCTCGTACTCGAGCATCTAATCTTTAATAGAGCTAAAGAACTATAAGGTTACGAGTGTTGGGTCCCGATCGCTTTTTTTTTAGTGGGCAGCACCGCTGTTCCAGACCATTTGTCTTTCTCCCGTCCTTGTGGTTGTGTTTCATCCGAAACTATGATTGTTTCAAACTGGTCTTCCTTGTTAGTAATAGAACTTCCTGCCCTGCTGTTTCTAGGTAGTTATTGTCGCAGCTCGTGCTCTCGATACTTGCTAAGCTACATCTTCACGCATCTTGTACGATTGATTACTTCAATCTGTAAAAAAACTGATCGATTGACCATACTTGTTTATTGCCAAACCGTAAGATGGTTTCGTCTTTGTCTGGTACTGCTCTCGTGAAAATCCAGTTGGCGACACCCACTCATGAACTCACTCGCGATAGCTGTTTTTTGGCCGTAGGTATCTGCACATGCTTGTAGCTTTACTGGGAAGTTCTCTAAAAGCAACACGGAATCCTAATCTGTATTCCAAAGCAGCCGCTCCCTGGCTGCGATGCAACGTATGGTTACTAGAAACGCAGGACGACTACGAACGAGAATTGATTATGATCACATCTACTTCTTTTTTTGAAGGCCCATATACTGACACGTACTATTACTGTCCGCAAGAACTTCGTTTCCTTAGTGGAAATTTGTTTCTAAAAAACAAAAACCTAAAATGTAGAACGTACTTAATATGACTGGAATCTAGAGTAGGTTTTCTACTATTATGCAGAATCCTGAGTTACTAATACCTTAACATGTTTCAAAAAATTTGCTGCCAGGACCAGAGACGAACTACATCACCAAGAAAAAAGAAAACGAGACAAACAGTAATGCGCCCGCAACCAGTCAAGTGTATGGAAGCTTTCACGATTACCAGAAAAGCCAAAATTACTTAATTTAAAAATTAATTTATTTAACTTAGAAAAAAAAACTATGTACTTCCGGTTTTCGCATGGGCGAAGTAACTCCTGAACTCAGACTGGCGTTTTAGATAGTTGAAAAGACCTACGGTCACTTTCAGAATATGTCCATGTCCGGCAATGTTTCGAAATACCTGGATTCCAAATGAATGAAAGTCTACCGACTGCTATAAAGAGGCAGAATAATAAGATTTCACCTAAAGAACTATAATAATAACAGCATACGGCATACCAGTGTCTAATCATGAATAGGATTAAGTTAATTTTCAAACTTTATATTCATGTTCATCAAACAACGGGCACATTTGAAATAATGTTTGTGCAAAATATTTCTATGGTTTAGTATTTGGCTGAACAACTTCAGGAGGGACAAGACTTTATTGTTCCCCAAATAATTGAGTAATCAATAACATTTATGCTAAAAATAATACTTAAACGAATTTCTTACGAGATAGATATCTCGCATGGTTCGGTTTTCATGTGCATGTCACGAAGTGTTCGAATGGTGATGTGTAAACAACTGTGTAAATACCAATGTCTTCCAATTGATTACTTCTTTACGAGGGTTCTCGACCCTTCTGAAGTTTCTCAACTAAAAAGTACCACGACCCGCTGGAATATTAGACTAGGTAATAATGCATTTTTTGTAATTAGTTGCCCTGTAAGTTCGTATGGGGATCAGGTATCGTCGAATACCGCTGATTTGAATGAAATTCAGATAAACCAGAATGAAATAGTCGCTTATTAAGGACAAATTTCCAAATTAAATGCGCAGTGAACTTGTCGCAGATTACCCCTTATTTTTATTCTGACCTTTTAATTTAAATTAGAAGTTAATAGATCGCTGAATTACCTTAGATATGTCTTTATTTTTTGATTCTAAAACCAGACACAAACAATCAACATAGGCCAATTAAGTGTAGATGTACCTACTTTTGGCTACAGGCTGAATGGATTAAAAAAACCCTGGTGGCGGACATAACAGTGGAGTGGTGGCATTTTTATTTCTTGAATAGTTAAAATAGGAAAGTTGAATGTTGCACATGGCCAGTTTCACAGCCTCGTGCAGAACCTCATCGATCTTTTCGGAATTCTGCCGAAACCAAGACTAAGCTGTCGCATTAAAAAGCATTGCCTACCGCCGAAAGGAAGCGGACGATGAGCGCGGTAGAGTTGTTGCAGTTTGCTACCTTCGGATCTATCATTACCAGGCTGCTTTCTACGGATTTCACATTGAGCTTGTATTCACGATATGACGACTTCACAACAACATCAACAAATAGACGACGCCCGCCAATGCAGGCGACGGCGACGTGCGCGCGAGCTTTTACGCAATCTGCCAACAGATACGATGATTACAGCGGAGACGTTTCACAGTGTAGACGCGTTGCCTGATATTTTGCACGAATTCTAATTGACCCGGCGGAAGCTATGCCTGTAGTGTGTAAGGCGATAAAAAAGATACTAGATGTTACGACTCAATAATGCAAAGCAAGCTGATGCATGCAGTCGTGAGTTGCGTGTGAACGAGAATGGCGTAAGAAGCATCTTTGTTAACGCGATAAAGGTCAACCATAAGGTTAAAAATAAATACGTAATTCTTTACCCTGTTTATATGTCACTGTTCATACTAATTAGTTTTATTCAGGAAAAAGGAGAAAGGTAGACTGACACTTTGTCCGGAGAAAAATTGAGAAAAAATAGATGAACACTGAACACCATGTTTCTTGTACTTTATAATAGCAATGTTCACAATAAAAAATAGTGCACAGTTCCATAGATTGAAATAATTTTGTGGACGTGATTTCTCTACGTTAAAGTTTCTTTCGTGGAATGAACTGAGATCTCGGTAAGCGATATGAATTAAGCAGGCGTAGAATGATATAATCATTCAATTCAGATTGTCAACTATTATATGACGTATATGAATTCAATGAAACCGAACAGTTAATTTCAACGATAACAAAAAACACATAACAAAAAAATATTTTTAAAAAAATAACAAAAGATATAGAAAGGTAGCAAAAAAACATTTTTTAATTTAAACTACAAAACATAAGGAGTATGACACTTTGATTGAGGCTTTCTAAGACTGTCTAAATATAACAGTTATTTCAATAGGCACATAAGCTGAATTGTGAGCGAACCAGCGATTATTTTTGCGGTTTATTTTTGAGTCGACAAAGAATATAGCATAGTCTGTTGTTTCATTCTTGAGAACAAAGCATCAGACAACATTGATCAAATCTCTGCGTTTTAATTGCTCCTGGAGAGCACCTAGAGAGAGTTTGTTGTATAACATACGGTGTGTACGTGAGACCTCAGCATGTCAAGAGTTCGAGGCATCGTATACACCGTGCTTACATAAATTACACTAGTACCTCCCACTGAAACAAAGATAATTAGAAATTCACCTTTGGAGAGTAGCAATTTGTCGTTTATACTGGAACCCATACTATTTTTTCTCTGCCGTAGATTTTCCGTCGTGGTACGCTAGAAGCTGCCTCTGTTTCTTTTGCAGACGCATACTTATTTGCGGCGGTGATCTCATTGAAGGTTTCTTCAGCACGTGAAGTTTGTCTAAATTCCAAAAACAATACATCCTTCTTTACGATTCGCTGACGATTCGTTGTTTGTTACAGCAACGACAGCTACGTCTATATTTGCATTAAAACTATGACTTCTTATTCATAGGAACCGTCTAGCCATATTTAGAATGATTCTACTACATAAGTTTTACAAAAAGCTAATTATTATATTACATTATACAAGGAGTTAGCATAAAACATTTTAATCTTTCAACGCAAATCGGCCCAACTTCATGCAATTATCACAGCACAACACCTTAGTTATATTGAAAAGGTGTTCCTCATTGTAATATTTAAGCGGTGATGCACTTTTCGACTTGCATATAGATTGCGTATTACCTCTCCTTTAGCCTTCTTACACAAACAACCCTACTTTTCTTCCATTTATAAGCTCAGCGCTATCTTATATCGTGGTCAACTGTAAGCTTACTTTTTCCAAAATTATGAATACTGCTCTCTGTATATACTATATTTTAGCTTTACCTAAAGCTAAATCCTTACCTATATAT